GGCAGCAAATGAGAAAAATGGAGTGCAGGTGACTCTCATGATTCTTGCTAGAGTGACCGGAGAGACGGTGCTGCTTTCACCAAGAAAGGGAATCCTGAGGAAGAAGGAGGTTTCCAGAGGAATGATGAAGAATTCGGATCTTCAGTGCTGAGTGTGAATCATCCATGGGCCCTCCCGGTGGAAGTGGCCACTAGCATCTCCCAGGTCCTTCTCAGGCTTATCTTTCCACCTGCAGTTCCCATTCCCTCTCGGCCCAGGCTGTGAAAACGGACAGCGAGGCTGCAATGGGGACATTTGCCAGACCTGCATATGGAAGCCTGGACCTGATTCTGTTTTGCACTCCTGAAAAAGGAACCAGGAATCTGAGCTTCCCAGCCTGGCCCCTCAGGCCCCAAAGGAAGCCTGGAAACCCTCCTCCCATCCCAAAGAACATCTTGAAATTGCCCTTTCCACTGACCCTACCCCTACCTCCCTCTCCTTTCAGCCTGATTTCTGGTGGGGGCAGAAGGCAGGAGATGGCACAGAGTCAAAGTTCAGAGGACCTTGGACAACTTGCTCATTTTGTATAGAAGGAAACTGAGGCCCAGGGGACAGAGGGCAACTAACTCAAGGTTACAGAAGAAGTTAATGGCAGAGGTGGGACTAGATCCTAGGTCTCTCAAATTCACAGCCCAGTGTTTTTACTTTGGCTGAATTCACTATAGATCATGGTTAAAAGATTTCCTGTCTCAAATGATAATAAATGCCAGATGCACTCTAACTAAGTAGATCTTTATATTATGCCAAGTTGCTGGGTAAAATATCTGTCAAATGTGAGATAAGTCATGCCCCATAAATGTTCTTTGTAAAGTAGCAAATGTTAAATGACCAGAAGTGTTAAGAATTAGTTACAAGAATGATTTGGTCATTTTCAAAACAAAGGAAGTGGATTGAAGTATTATGATGATGATGAGAGTTTTCATATGCCTAGTATTTCAGTCTACTGCCCCTCTGGCTATTTTCTGCCTTTCAAGTCGGACTCCCCGCCCCCTCGAGCTGGAGGAGGGGTCTGGGGCAGCTGATGGACTGAGTCTGGTGCTGAGGCCAAGCCTGCAGCCAGACTGGAGCCAGTTCGGTTGGGAGCAGGGGCTCTTGTTACAGGCAAACTATTACCCCCCAGGTAGCCGCAGCCACTTCAGCAGGAGCCTGGAGAGAAGCCCTGAACAGCTCCAGGCAACAAAAGGAGCTTTGTGCACTGGGAACAAGTGGCCCCCGGGAGGATCTGGCGCAAGGGCGGTGGGAGGGAAGGTCAGCAGCCTCCTCACCTCTGCCGCCTGCTGGGAAGGGGAGCTAATAGGCTCAGTGGTGCAGTTTGCAAGTCAAGGAGCCATTGAATTTCAGAGTGGCAAGATATCTTAGGGGTCATTTAGTGCAAACTGTTTGTTTTATAGCTGGGGACACTAAGGCCCAGAGAGGGGAAGGGACATGCCCAAGATCACACAGTTGGCAAAGGGCAAAGCCAAAACTGGAACCTAGAGCTCCTGGTCCTGCTACTCAAGTGTTCTCACCTCAGGGCCTGACAGGCAGTTTGGAGTTGTGGGTTTTGTTTGGAGGATGGGGTTCCTTTTAGGCTCCAGAACCTTTTTGTATTTTAGGAGCAGTTCACTCTCAAGCAACATGATGCGAGGACTTGGAAGAAGTATGAAGTGATGCAGGGAGCTTGAGAGCATGGAGCGAGTCTTGGAGTCCCTAAGACCTGAGCCTTCTCCTGACCTGCTGGTTTTACTACTGCTAGCTCGGTAGTATATGTCGGCATGGGATGACTAAGGGTGATACACTGGTATTTTTAATAGTGATAGATAATTAGCATATATTGGGGAAAATGTAACTAGTAACTAGTACGTCAAAACCCAATTTCATAGATATTGCAGCTTAGGGTGAGGTTATTGCTTAAAATCAGGCTGATTTAAAGAAAAATATTAAGTACGTAATGGCAAAGATGACATCATGGCAAAAACTGTGAGGGTGGTTCACAAATAAGTGAGATTTGGGAAAGATTGTGCTAGTGGATTCTGGAAGCGTGCTAGCAGGGCCCTCACGGGTCATTCAGTTCACCCTCTCGGGGTTGGGCAGCTCCACGTGTGCTGAAGCCACCTAGATGCTCCTAATGCTCTCCTGGAAGAGAGTCCCAAGGATCCCATGAAAGCCCCGCCAAGGTTTCCTCTGTCAGTGGGACCACTAGGACAAAAGCACTAGAAGAAGATTACATATGCAAATTATATGCAAATGTAAACTTGGAGTTAGTGTCTCGGCTTCTTCATCGCTAAAATGTCCCTGACTGGTCCTCTCTTCCACCTCTTCTGTTCTGCTCTGGTGGCACTTGGGAGAATGGCGTATGAGAACATGGCAGGCTCAACGTACAGAGGGGAACACTGAGGTTCAGAGAAGGGAAGGCTCTGACTTAGGATCAGTCGGCCGTGAGTGTCAGACTGTCCCATAGCTCCTGTCCCTTCAGCCCCCGCGCCACCCCAATCAGGCAGCTCCAGTCCCCTCTGCAGTCCTGTCTAGCACAGCTCACTTTCTTCAAACCTTCTAAACTCATCAAAGGCACAAGAAACTTGTGACATTGGTCACCTTTAAGAGGACTGCCGGATAGTTGAGGGACTGGGGCGAGAAGAGACTTTTTATTTTTAATACCTCTTTAGTTTTGAAGCATGTGAAGGCATTACTGATCCCACAAATAAAAAAGTAATAAAACAAATCAAGAGTTCTGCTCACTCCCTGAGCTAAATCTCAGAAATAATCACATGTGTTTGATACTTGGACATTTTTAATGTACTAACTCTTATGATCCATATGAGTCCCAGGCAATAAGCTCCATTTTATTCTTTATTATACTTATTTATTTTTGAGACAGAGTCTCTCACTCTGTCACCTGGGCTAGAGTGTCATGGCATCATGAAAGCTCACAGCAACCACAAACTCCTGGGCTCAAGGGATCCTCCTGCCTCAGCCTCCCGAGTAGCTGGGACTACAGGCATGCGCCACTATGCCCGGCTAATTTTTCTATTTTTAGTAGAGACGGCGGTCTCACTCTTGCTCAGGCTGGTCTTGAACTCCTGACCTTGAGCGATCCTCCCACCTTGGCCTTCCAGAGTGCTAGGATTGCAGGTGTGAACCACCACGCCCAGCCTAATAAGCTCCATTTTCTAGGTCTGGATACTAGTCCAGAGAGGGGAAATTTCTTGCCTGGGCTCACACAGTGACTCTATACTGATATATTTGGGCTAACATGCAGGTGCTCTGATTCCCAGTGCCTGGCTGATACCATTGCCGCATCCACATAAACTCATAATTTCTGCCAGATTGTCCTTGAATCAGCGTGAGACGATGTGTTCATATTTGCCCTTAAATAGACATTTTCAAACTTTAACCTAAAGAAGAGGCAGGAAGACCAGTCCCATCTCAGCTGCGTAGGTGGCAACCTCCTCTGCCTCGCCCACCCCCTAAAAGAGCCTCCTCTCTCCTCTAGAAGCCACAGACCACTCAGCCACTTGGTGCCCACCCTCCCAGGGCTCCGTGCTGGCGCCTTAGCCTGGCACAGACATTCTAAAGAGACAACTTGGCAGCTGCAAGTGCATTCGTCTAGGGGGTCACTATTTCGGGGCCTGAGGGGTTTCTTTTTAGCCTTTGCAGCTGGTGTCTCTGAAATGGAGAAGTCTGTCCTTCACCCAGTACGGGCAGTGCGCAGACCTTGTGCCCCCAGAAGTCTGCGTTGCAAAGCAGGAACTGTGCTCAGCAAGAAGCCCCGGAATGGGGATGGGGGGAAGGCAGTGGGGTGGGGGTGGAGAAGCAGATGCATGCTGTGTGCTGATCAAAGCAGTGTTCCCGCTTCAAAATAGGTCCCCTCCCATCTGCTGTCATGGCAATGCAAATAAACACCTCACCCTGTCAGTTCTTCTTTTGTAGCAGCAACCACCCAAGAACTCTGGGTCCTAAGGTGGAAAAGTCCTTGGGAGGTCACCAGATCCCCTGTCTGCCACCTGGTAAGTCTTGCCCAAACCAGCTCCAAGTACTCTGGAAGGTCCTCTTGAGCAAGGGCTCTGCTTGTCTCTTCCAATGTCTTCCCAAGATGCCTCGCGCATGCCCTTAGCGCACCACTCGCTTGTTAATCGGTTCCTGTTTCAGCGACCCTCCAGCCCTGTCACCTAGGAGCCATGCTCATTCAAGTCATGAGCTCATCCTGATGAAACATTGAAGCCAGTGGCAATGACTGAGGTCAGGCCGGAGCCAGGAGGGTGGCCTCGGTGGCCTCAGCAAAGCCCGGCCGTATCTGTCTCTCTGTTCCTCCACAACGCTGTCATCCCGCTTGAGACAACTGTGTCCTCCTCAACGGAAGGTAGTTGCCACCCACTTGTCCCCACCCAAACAGGATACCAGAGGCAGAAGGCAGATAAAAAGCCAGGCTCAAAGAAACTTGTTAGAGAGCAAAAGGAGGGAACTTTTTACTTCAGGGCTATGTATATCCCTAGGTATGTATAACTGACTCCAAAGGCCACCTCCTCTTGGAAACCTTCTAGATAAAGCAAGTGCTGGGAATATCACAGGCACTGAACCCCAAATGCCAGGTTTCCCTGCTTCATCCTCCACTTACCTGTTTCCTCTCCCGAAATATCTCCCACCCCTAATACACTTCCCAGTGGAAAGAAGGCATTGGAGAACAAGGGAAGCTTATGGGTGGCTGCCACTTGCTGATAGCTTCGGAAGGAAGTCCTCCTTTGGCTCCCTGACAAGTGCAAAACCTCTCTCTGAGAACTAAAGAGGCCCCGCGCTCGAGCCAAAAGGCAGGGCCCGAGAAGTCCAGCAAGCGCCCAGTGGAGGGAGACAGAGAGGACATCTCCAGCTTTCACATCTCGGCCATTGGCTCTGCTGCCCAGGGGCCTGACCAGCTGCTCCCTGAAGACGACTGAGAAGCTCAGTCTCACTGTATGCCGTTTGTGATCCTCACGCCATGCGCTTACCTGCGTTCTTCCTCACCTGCAGCAACGGCAAGCACTGCAAAGGAAACAGAGACGAAGTCAAGGCATTGCAGAGACACAACATCCAAACTAGAAGAGAACTTAAAGTCAGCAAGTTCCATCTATCCATTTTACAGCAGGACACATTGAGGCCCACAGAAAAGGAAAATGAAGAAAGAATCAAAGTGGAGCCCCGAATCCCAGGCTCCTGACTGCCCACTCCATACAACTGTACTTTCTCCTACCCCATGGGCTGCTTCCTCTGGTTCACTTCACTCTCTCTGAATGGAGAGTGCTCCCAAGTCAGGGGATTGGAGACAGTCTGCCACAGCTCACAGTACTGTTCCAAGGCCTGACAATAAAGATTGTCAAAGCATAGGTCAGCATTTTCTTGGCACATACCCTGGTATAGCATCAACCAGGCTGGAAGCAAGGTGTGTTGGTGGAAAGAGCAGTATTTAGAATTGGAGAGCCCAAGTTCAGATCTACCTTCCCCTACTTACTGATTATGTGGCATTAGACATCACTCATAACCTCTTGAGGCTTAGTTTCTGCATCCATGAGACTAGGAGAGTAAAAAGCATGACCTCACAGGCTTCGTGAGAAATTAATGTACATGAAAGCACTTTTTAAAAATGATTAAGCACTTTATAAATTCATTCATTCAACAAACATTTATAGAATACCAATGCCCTACAGAGGACAATGCTAGATGCTAAGGATCTAGTATTGATCTAGACAGAGAAGTCCTCATGGAACCGAACTCCTAGTGGGAAGGGACAAGCAATAAATAAGTAAACAAAGAAATAAGGAAATTTTGGGCATCGCCAAGAACCAAGGAGAAAGTTTAAAGGGTGAGATAGAGAGTGATCAGGCAAGGGGAATAAGGAGGTGGCCAGAGGGGGTCTCACTGAGGAGGTGAACTTTGAGCAGAGACTTGAATGACAAGAAAGTGTCAGCAATGTGCAAAACATTCCAGACAAAGGCTAAAGAGAGGAGCAAGGGCCAAATTACGTAGGGCTTCGAAGGCCGGGGTGAAGATTTTGGCTTTGATTGCAATTACAGTAGGCAGCCATTGCAGGGTGTAGAGCAGGAGAAGGACAGGATCTGATTTCCACTTTCAAAAAGTCACTCTGGCTGTTGGGTGGCGAGCGGACTACAGGGCCAGAGTGGAAGTGGGGAGGCTTTTAGAGCAGTTCAGGCAAACGACGTCAGTAGCTTGGCCTAAAATGGTAGTGGGAGAAACATTCAATCAATACTTAAGAAGGAAAGAGAAAAAGGAAGGAAGGAAGGAAATACAGGGACCTCTTAGAGGTAGCAGGGCCTTTTTGCCTGTTCTTCTGCCTTTGTGCAGCCAACCTCAAAACCAACTGAAAGGTTGTCAGAAAAGGAGTTGCCATAGTATGTGTCTAATCTCTTATCCTCTGCACGATAACTGCCATGCCAGGTGCAGACACTTGATCACAATGCTTCCTAATCCTAGGAGATTTGTCTCAGCCTTAGATCACCCTAAAATGACTAGAGGTCAGATGCCCCCTTATAGACCACAATCAGCCACAGTAGACAGGAGGGATGGGGGCTGGATCCTTTAGTGTTCATTGGCAAGGCTCTTGAGGGATGTTAGTGTGAAGGAGATGGAAAGTTCTAGAATTTGATAGGTGTGACCAGAAGTGAAAGACCAATAGAGAAGGACAGATATGAAAGTCCCATACAAAGTTACAAAGTAGAATGATGATTAAGCAAGTCAGTATAATTCTCAGTGGTGAACAAAAAGGGAGGAGAAAAGAAAAAGAAGAGAAGGCAGGCCCCTGTGATATCCTAAATGTGACTGTTCTGGAAAATTAGGAGGAAGGAACAGAGTCGTATTAGATCTCCTACTCCCCTGCCTTACTAGCCCAACCCAGCATAGGGATAACAGAATTAAAGATAGTTCAAGACATAATTAGGCCTTAAATTTACACAGAAATTTACAGGTTACAAATGAGCAACCTTCTTTAACCGTCATGATCATTCTGCATGAGGAAAATAAGGTTAAGAGAAGTGAAATGACTTACCCAAGGTCACACAGGTAGTAAATGTCAAAACCAAGTCTATGCTTGAGGTCTATAGGCTCCTAATTTTATGGCATCCTACTCTTTTCTCTCTGGGGTCCAGGATAGTATGGATTGGGCTAGGACCATGAGTCCCACTCTGCTTTCGACCTTGATCCTGATGCAATTTTAGTAACTCAAAGACTTTCAGGAAAAGATGATGTATGAACTTTTGCATGAGAGAGTTCTGCTACAGAGTGAAGGCCCTTTCTGTTTGCTGGTTGTAGAACATGTCCCTCTCACTTGAGGGTTCTGAACCTAGGGGCCAGGAGTCCAGCAGCTACAAAAGACAGTTACTCTAAAGAAAGACCAGGATTAGCAGTGACAATTTTCCTATCTAGTGGGTCATTCATTCACATATTCATTCATTTATTCATCCATTCACTAGGTGCCTCCTCAGGGATAGGCCCTGCACTAGGTATTCAGGGATTCAGGTGAATCAGACATGTGCCCTGCTTCAAGGAGTTCACAGCTGGCCGGGCACGGTGGCTCAGGCCTGTGATCCTAGCACTCTTGGGGTCAGAGATGGGAGGATTGCTTGAGCTCATGAGTTTCAGACCAGCCTGAGCGAGACCCTGTCTCTACTAAAAATAGAAAAAAAAAAATAGCCAAGCAACTAAAAATACAAAAATTAGCCAGGCATGGTAGCACGTGCCTATAGTTTCAGATACTGGGGAGGTTGAGGCAGGAGGATTGCTTGAGCCCAGGAGTTTGAGGTTGCTGTGAACTAGGCTGACGCAACGGCACTCTAGCCCAGGCAACAGAGTGAGACTCTGTCTCAAAAAATAGGAATTCACAGCTAAGTGGGGGAGTCGGTCACACACACAAATCCTCACAATTCACGTAAGTACTTATTAATAAGTACTACTGGAAAGCTTGACGCCTTGTGGAGCTGAGCAAAGGGAGTAATTCACTGCTGGGGTTAGGGCTACATTGTCGCGAGGACCTTCATGAAGAAGGTAGCATTTGGAATGGGTCTTGAAGGCTGAGTAGTTGTTCATCAGGCAGACAAGGGGCAAAGAACCCGGGCATAGGTAAGGACGAGGAGGTGTCAAAGTGTGTGGTTTGGGGAAGTAACTGTGTGTAGCCCAGACGTAGAGCACTCCCTCCAGACAGAGAGAGAAATGAGTCTGAAGCAGCAGGTAGGGGCCTGATCATGAAGGACTTGCAGGTCATCTTAAGGAGCTGGAACTTTATCCAGAGCCCAATGGGAAGCCATTGAAGGGGCCTAAACAGGGGGGTAACACAGTCAGATTCATGTGTCAGAATGTTTATCTGCTGAGTGAAGGATGGATTGAGAATGAGGGGCTCGGCAAAACGAGGGACAGGGAGACGACAGTGAGGATAAGGTTCTGGATTGGGCGGTGGCCTTTGGGATGGTGAAGAGAGGACCAATATAAAGACTGTTCACACGGTAGAACCAAAGGCACTACCATGGGGGCCTGTGAGGAGGAGAGGAGAGGAGTCAAGGATGACTTGAAGGTTTCTGGCCTGCCAACTGGGTGCACGAGGGTGCTGTTGACTGAATTCAGGAATGGAGGGAAACGTGGTTTGGGGTCTATGAGAGGGAAATCTTCCTCCTGTAGTGAATTTTACCTTGGAACTGTTGAGTTCAAGGGGTCTGTGAAGCAGATGCGGTCAGTGTCGTGGGAGATAGAGTGGCCAGAAAGATCAGGAGTTTTTGTGAGAAGAAGGGAAACATGGCAAAAGAGTAAAAAAGACAAAGCGAGAGATGAAAGGGGGATAGAAGCGGAAGATGGTGGCTGGGTGAGAGGCAGAGAGGGCTAAGAGGGGGAGCTTGGACACAAGCTGAGAGGCTTTTGACAGGCTCTGTCCAAAGCCAGGCGCCCTCGGCCGTGAGTGGCTGGGACGGAGCTCACTCGCCTCAGCGTCCTGTCTGCTCAGTCCCTGGGCTCTAGGCCCAGCCCTTACTATCTGAGGGAGGCCTAGAGAGGCTTTTTGTCCGTTCCTTGCTGGGTTTCTCTGTTCCACCCATCCCCCATCTGCCCCCCAAACCCCCCTAACCCCTGGCCGGCCCGTGCCATAGAGCCAGGCCTAGGGCCACAGTCATGGGAGCACGTTCTTCACATTCCAGCCTCCCCAGCCCTCTCGGCTGGGCCACACAGAGCCCTATTCACAGCCTGGCCCGCCCTCCCTCCACAGTGGGCTCTCACTGCCCCCAGGCCCAGCCTGTGTTTCGCCAGCACAGACTACGGCCGCTGTGGGAAGCAGGCTCTCCTGACCCCTCTGGAGCTGACTCCCCTGTCTCTCAGGGTCTCTCGGCTGGGAGGTGGCTGCCATGGGCTTGGCCACTTGTGCGTACATGAGTGTGCACGTGTGATCTATGCACCCAGCAACCTTTCTCTAGGCTCGGCCTAGAATAGGGGCTGTGTTGGGCCGAGCTGCCACTGGACACAGGGGTCAATAGGACACAGGCTGGGTCATTAGAGGAGCTCACAGTCCAGCGTGGAGACAGCTGGGCAGATGGGGCACTGTGTGTGGGCTAAGGCTGGATTGAGCCTGCCACCAGGTCTTAAAAATGGAGCGTTGGTGTCATGGTGCTACTTTTAAACCCCATGCAATGGCCTGGGGACATGTGCTTATGTTCAGGGTGTGATGTCTGCTGGGAGTAGGGGGATGCAGTCCTGGAGAATGCCAATATGTCCCCTGGAAAGAGCAGAGGAGACCTGGTTTAAGAAGGATGGACAGACTATATCCCTGGGCTTGACCTTCACCTTTGACCAGTTCTTTCCTGGGCCTCAGACTTGTTGCCTATAATGATAGGTGGGTCCCTGGCAATTCTTATCCTTCTATACAAGGGAGAGGGTAAGGGACAATGCCAGCTGAGAAAGCGTAGTAGAAGAAATGACTTCCAGAAGGCTTTTGTATGTAGAGCTCAGAGTCTGGGACAGCCTCCTGAGAAATCCTTCAAGGGCCCGTCTCCCCTCTGTCTGCTCACTGGGGGTTCTCGCCGTCCCATAGCAGCCCAGAGTGTGTGGGCCTCTCGGAAACCTGACTCTCCATTCCTGACCACTGTGGGCCCAGACCGACTCATCCACCTCCAAAAAGGGTGCTCGGCCTGTAGCCTCAGGAATACTGATGGTTTTGGAAGTCACCTCCCTGACAGAAATTCCTGCTGCCCTGGGCTCTTTTCCCCTTAATTTCTTCCTGCCAGTTCTGACAGGGTCCTTTTTCCCTCCTGCCCCGCCCGACTCCCTGACCTGGCCTGCAGGGCCGCTCCAGGCCCGGCTCCTTTGGCGCTTCCCCCCCCCCCCCCCCCTTTTCCAGCCTCCACAGCAGGCCAAGAGCAGGGCCACGGAGGAGAGTGAGCAGCAGCTGCAAGCCCCAGGGGTTCTCGGGACAATCTCAGGAATGTCATGTCCCAAAGACTTGACTTTCCCACCAGCCAACAGGGAGCCTCCTTCCGGCTCAGAGCTTGGGAGAGAGGCCGTGGAAGCCTGAGTGTAGGAAGGGCTGGAGCGGAGAGACACAGTGGTTCCCGTGTGGGATGGAGCCTC